AAACGTTGAGACGGCCAAACATTCGGCGGCACATTTCTTCCTCCTTTTCCATGTATTTCCTGTAGCATCTGCAAAGTAGAGCACAGCGTGGCACCACGGGCTGTGGACTGCCCACCCAACCGTCAGTGCCACAACCAGAAAATATATCTTATTTTTTCTATATAAATTAATTAATGTAAGAGTGTGCTGATAGCAAAGATGCAGCTCCCCTAAGCCCTTCTTTCTGCCATGTCAGGGAAGGAGAGCTGGAAACATCGTGCCTTATCCCGGTCCTGGGGTCTCTGCTTCAATGGTGACTATTAGCCAAATAGATAATTTAACTGTTTGGTAGCCAGATGCTTTCTGCACCAGTATCGCGAGCACGTGACAATGCAGGGGCACCCCACCTGTATCCTGTGGTCTAGTTGGGCATCTCCTCATTTGTGTCTCTCCTTGCGCGAGCTCTTTCAGTGCCCAGCAGGAGCCATCGCCTAAAGTGCCCTGCTCCAGGGTATCTACCATTGACACCAAACTTGGGCAGAGGATGAGCAGGAAGCAGATGACAGGGCAGATGCTTCCTCCTCCATTCTCACCTCCCTCCTAGTGTCACACCAGTACAGCAGAAGCTACCCAGACTGCTCCAGTTTAATTGCTGCTTCTCCAAGCACAGCATCCCTGGGGAGTGGTTCAAGGCCAGGCTGGATAAGGCTTTGAGCAACCTGGGCTAGTGGGAGGTGTCCCTGCCCATGGCATGGGGCGGCACTGGATGGGCTTTAAGGTCCCTTCCCACCCAAACCCTTCTGTGATTCTATCCCCTGCACCCTGTGCTCTCACCTCACCAGCAGTGAGGTCTCACTGGTGAGGAATCCCGGAGCCAGAGGGTGACTCAGTTTGGGCACCGTCCCATGGTCAGCTTTCCTGCATCTGCTCCCATATAAGGCCAAAAGCAAAGTGTTTTGTTGCACTGCACCAGAAATGTCACAACTGTGATGTTGGCTAATGCTCTCTCAGCCCCCTACCACCAGCCCCGCCCCAGGTTTAGATCCTCAAAGTGCTTCGTTCAATGACATCCCAGCACAGCAAGTCTCTTCTGTTAAGTCTCAGACAGATGTTGCCACAACTGCCCGCATCAGGGATGCCCACCTAGACTGTGGACAGCACGCCCAGGTGCCTGCCCCAGCAGGAGATCCAAGCACCCCTCCTTTGGAGGTGCAGATTCACATCAGATGTTGGAACAACCCCATTTTGTTCTGGATTTGATGCAATACAAGCCTTTGAACAAAAACACCAAATCCAGCAGCAGAACTTCACCACCAAGACCACTACAGCTGGTACCAGACGTGCATGCCATCTCCAGTGAGGTGAGTTTTGCCAGGAACCCAGGTTCAGCTGCTTAACAGAAGGTTTTAGAAGTTTTGTTTCAGACAGCAAAAGGTAGCTGTGAATTAACACACAAGATTCCTTTTTGCAAAGCATAAATGTACTCAGTAAGGAAGTGAAAAGCTTCTAAGAACAAGATTTTGATTCCTATTCCATTTCTGAAGCATTTATCAGATCACATCTCACCTTTTCTCAGGCAAGGCAGTTTCGCAACATTACAGGATCTGGACTGAGGTGCAGCGTAATTAATAACATCCAGTAACGTCGTCTTCAGCTATTTTATACTAATTCCACTCTTTGTCAGAATAAATGCAAAAAAATACACAATTTTAAGCGGCACCGAAGCAGAAACTGCGAGACAACGGTGTTTTAATGCGTGCTCAGCTTACTGACACCTGTGTTAGGTGCCCGTGCTGCTGTCTCCAGTCAGAGCCCACCAGCCTGCCCACTGCTTCCCCAAAGGCGCAATGCCTTGTTGCTTCCTCGCTGCGCAACCTCAACATTATTAGCAAGATTCTTCTTTTACCTGCCACCATATTTCAAATGGGTCTAAGGGAACACGAGGCTTCTAGAATCAGGACTTCCAGCACAGGTCTCTGAGACCATGCACACCTCCAAGACTAGCTGCCCAGCCCTCCACATCTATTCTCTAACTACTCGTGCTCACCCAGCAATTTGGTAGCTACGTACCCAGAGGCAGAGCAGGATGAATAGAATTGGTTTATTTCAGATGTCCAGAGCAGCAGCTAACACTGCCTTCAAATTCTTTGTACTTCTGAAGTAACAGAACAAGTCTGAAGACTCGGTGTTATCACAGACTGTTAAAGACGAGGTGGATATACAGGACACCCATGTGCAAGAACAGCCCTCTGCCAAAATCTTACCTGGTGAAGGCACTCAGCCCATGAGACCGGCTTTTCCACCGCATCAACTACTCTAAGACAAGTTACTGCTGCCTACAAACCTTTTTGCAAATGCCTAGCAGCGACACACAAAAGAAGAGGGTTTGCATTCAAGGGCTGCTTTGTGATCTCTGAAGCTGGAGGCTGCAGCACCTTCTGCGTCTGTGAGCAGCGCCAGAAGTACAGCGCACGCTTTTGGGAACCAGCTAGGGCTTTTGCCAGTTTCAAAGGGAAGAACAGAATGAGGACAGAGACTAGCGTTAGTCATGTTTTGGTGGGGCTAGGGCATGACTAAAGCTGGCAGGATTGTGCTGTGCTCAGCCTGCAGGCGAAGGGAAAGTTTGCCTTCAGGATTGCTCACTGACTACCTCCAACACAGCAAGAAATTAACTTTTAACAAACGTTAGTATTTGTAGCATTGTACACTGACGTACTTCTGCAGTGCAGAAGAGTTGCTGTAATTAAAGGGAATGAAAATCAAACTTATTACTCCAAAACATTATCAGCTTGAGCACTCGCCTACTGCATTTCATTGGCTTTGAGTCTCCCTGTCATCACCCTGACCAACCTACTCCCAAGGAATGTAACACACAAGTCCCTCCAGAGAAACTGCAGAGAAAGAGTGAGTGCTCTCAGCTCCTCCCCCATCACCTGTAACCGCTGCATCTGCAAAACATTCAAGTCAGCTGTCTCCACACCAAGAGAAACCTTCTGCATTTTCTCAAGTCACTCATTAAGCCAACAGTTTTGTGTTTTGGGTTTTTTTAAACATTTTAAATATTTTTGAGTGGGTGTTCCAGCCTGTCTAAGCACTGCCTCTCCCACAGGGATGGAAAGGAGTTCTCTCACCTTGCCAACTTTTTGATCTCATTGTTAATATTGTGGTTAAACGGCTGTACGCGCTGAGCTCTGACCAGGAAATCCCGGGCTTCTTGGTATTCTGCCATGCAGAGACGAGCCTGCCATTGAAAGAAGACAGATGCATCACAAGACAAATACAGACTCACTGCCATCCTTCAGGACCGAAACATGTGCAGCCACAAACATTTCTGAGACAGATCCAGGTAGCTCAGGAATCCCCCATGAAAAGATCTGTGTGACGGATTTACAGAGACACAGATTTTCCAAAAGATCAGATGCAGACAAACCACCTCGACTGCTGCAGCAGCTGGGGAGGTCTGGCCCAGAATTCCGTGGTTCTCCTCGGTTCTTTCAAGGTTCTCTCCACAGACAGTCAGGCTGGGGAATTCCTTGATGTGGCTACCAGAAGAATTTATTTTTGCCCACCTGGCCACACCTGAACAGCGCTTTGGCATTTCTTTGGTCAATCTCCAAGGCCTTCTTCCCATATACCAAAGCTCGGTCAGGACGCTCCAGTTTCAGGTAAGTGGCTGAGAGATTCAGGAGCAGCGGCAACTTGGAAGCATTGATCTGGCGCTGCTCATTCTCATCGGAGGGGCTGCGATCAAGGATGGAGAATGCCTGAGCAGGAAAAAAGACAGGAAAAAAGAACTAGTGCACAAACACATCTGCCATGGAAAGTACAAACTCCATCTCATCAGCCAGCCTCACCCATGCTTCTGTTTACCTTGGTCAGGTAAAAAAATAACCAAAACTCTGAATATGCTGCACGGCTTTAACAGCAGGGCCAGCTCAGCCCTAAGACTATGAGTTTAGGAACCTATCAAGCAGCAGAATAAAAATGTTACACACAGATTTTTAAGGCCAAAGAAGAGAAATCCTGCAGGGAGAAAGGCAATTTAAATCATTTTTGTTACAAAGAAATACCAACAAAAAGCAACCCTAAATGGAGAGAAGAGAAATCTCACAAAACCTCACTACTTGTGAAACAAAGGCAGATGCCCTCCAGTTTGGGAACAACCGAGTGTTTTCCTGCCCAGAGAGGCTGCGGGGTCTCCATCCTTGGAGATGTTCAAAACACAAATGGACGCAGCCCCGGGAAGCCCCTGCTGTGGCTGACCTTCCTGCCGCAGGACTGGACCAGGCAACCTCCAGAGGTTCCTCCCAGCCTCAAGTACTGTGCGATTCCCAACTGGAAGGCTAAAAGCAGAGTGCCCGGGATGCCAGCGATATCTCTGTTTCCAGACCGTGGGGATTCTAGACTGCTTCTCAAAGCATGAACCCGCACACTGCTGCAATCCAAAGCCATCCTGTATTAGAACGTCTCCCAGCAGAAGCTGACCCGAACGGCTCCAGTTCAGCATTCAGACACACAGACTCCCCAGGGTTCACGCCGTCACCAAGATGTACTTTTCTGTCTCACCTAGAGCCCACAGCAAGCCTGAAGGAAAAGGGTTCTGCACATTTCTGCCAACCCTTCTCCTCCTTCATTTACCGTTGCCACTCACACAAAAGCGAGTGTTTAAGATCTGTTCTTAAATAACAAGCTATGCCTGGAAAATATAACAAAGTTATTTGATCTTTAAATTCTACTTGTTATGGTGAGCTCGCACTTAATAATCACTGCTTTCACAGCTTTTCACAATGGAAAACACGTTGTTTTTTCGGCTATCATACCTTTTTGTATCTGCGTTTGGCATCCTTGAAGTTGTGCACATGGTACAGGTGGTTGCCAAACTGTCTCTCTGTGTCTGCCACTTTCAGCACCTTTTGTAGCGGAACACTATCCTGCTGCTCCTGTATAAAAAAATACCTGAATTTCAGCTCAAACAAAAGAAAACAAGCAGAGAGCTCAGACAGGAGAGTCTTGCACAGCCCCCTTCTATTCACAGCGCAGGAGCCAGGGCACTCCAAGGCCCCCGCAGCGTCCCGCCAGGCCACCACCACGTGGCATTCCCCTTCCTCAGGCTGAACACGCCACTGTTCCTGTGCTGGTAACTCCTGC